AAGCTAAGAATAAGAATAATGACCAAAGAATAACTCCCACCTATCCTTCAAGGTCAACACCTGAAACATTTCTTCTCTAAAGTTTTTCTTGACTTCGTGGAGTTTCATAAATCACTTATATACATCCCCATTGCTCCTTGCTTGTACTTCTGGTTTTGGTCTTAGTTAGCTCAGATTTTTAGCAGGGCCAATAGTGTCTGTTTCATTTGAGAGCAAGAGACCCTGACTTACGAATGTCCTATTCTGTAATACCATGCACAGTTCTCACCATTAAGGAGATACTCATCAAATGAGAGAGTGAGTGAATAATATTCTGATGTAGTCACAAATACATCTAAGACTTAAAAAATAATGTTTTTAAGAAAGCTGTCTCTTAATGTTCCTTGGTAAGCACTGTTAAATTCCTACTCAGACCTACGTGATCCAGATCATGTGTTTGAGCATCTTATATAATCTGAAAGCAAAGGCCATATATCCAGCCTTGAGAGAAGCCTTTCTGAGCAAAATGAGAACAGCTTTCTGAGAAACAAAAGCAAACTGGGCACTGGGCATGCAGGCACCACACAGATGTTGGCCAGGCTCTGGGAGAATCTGCATGTTGAATGCTTCCTGGACATAGCCCTCTTGCTCTGCATCTAGACTACCTGTGTGCAAGCCCTCTGCATGTGCAGGGCAGAATTTGTGAAGCATTGGCAAGTCTGCATCTCCTGCAAGCAGACTGGGCTCTGTCCTGCATTTGTTAGTGTAATTGCTGAAAACAGAGTGGTCTATTAAAAAGTAATGGCCACCGCCTGACGGATTTGCTTCTTGCAACATTAGTGTCACGGTGATGGATTGGCAGAATCTCCAAAGTGGAAAGGCATGTTTCCACAAGTATTTTGTATAAGCATAAATTCACTTGCAAACATTACTCATTTTACTTTTGTTTTTTAAATTTATGACCTTTTAATATTTGCCATGCATCTCTTAGCACACATGTGGCCCTCTCTGGAGAGCTCTCGTAAGTGATTCTGGGAAGGCCAGAGGAACTTTGGCATAGTCTTATGCCCATGTTGACAGGTTGCCCCTCTGCTCTGACCTACTTGCAGGAGAGGAAGAGAAGACAAGAACCATGAGACAGAAGCAGGCACCTTCACTGGGGTGTGGAAGCTCTGAGAGGGATCTCCTTTTACTAGAAAGGCAAGTCTGTTTCATGATTTGAAAAGTACCTTCTTTCATTGCTTCTTTCACTGGACTGTGAAAGTTGCCTTCTGACATCTTCAAGAACCATATCAAGAAATGTGTGATTCTCCTCCTAAGGCTGGACTCCTAGCTGGTTGAACTCTGATGTGTTTCTAGGCACTGAGGACACAACACTCTTTCCATTAAGGTCAGTCTATTAATGACTTTAGAAAAATGTGTAGTTGGAAACAAGGGTTTTCTGTATGAGGAAGGAGATGTAATAGGAAACTTGCCCCATAGGCCAACAAACCTGATGGACTCAGGGGTCCTGATAGAATTAGCTACTGTTGGTTGAAAGGTCAAGAGAAGTTAGGAAGTATTAGGGACCCAGGCATTTGAATAGAAAGAGGGAGCACACACCCCTGGTTACTCCTTCTCTGTGTTTGTAGAGCCCTGGTTTCACCCAGCCCTGATTCTAAGGGTGCTTATCCATTGGTTTTGCTGCTCAGAATCTATCCCCCTTTCTGCTGGTAGCTACTTACTGATTTTCCTTGGGGAATGCTTGTTCACCATTCTTAGATTTAGGTTTGGATGCAGTTAACTTGACTTCTGACCACAGGGCTGCTTATGTGATCCAGTTCTGGTAAGAAACACCTCAACCTTTCTAGATGCCAGTAACCAGTATAGAAATGGGCCAATAGCTGACCCAGTCCACAGATGCTCAATTACTGCATGTTGGGTGATTTAAAATTTCTTCCCTTTATACATGGAAGATGCTCTTGGAAGACGTTCTTGGTTGCATCTTATGAAAATTTCTCTAGGGGCTGGCACTGTGGCATAGCAGGTAGAACTGGTGCCTGCAGTTTCAGCATCCCATATGGGTGCCAGTTTGAGTCTCAGCTGCTCCATTTCTGATCCAGCTCTCTGCTATGGCCTGGGAAAGCAGTGGGCAAAAGCTCCTGGTTCATGGCTCTTGGCTTCAGATCAGTGAATCTCTGGCAATTGTGGCTATCTGGGGGAATGAACGGTGGATAGAAGGACTCCCCACCCCACGCCGCCCCTGCCTCTGCCTCTCTGTAACTCTGCCTTTCAAATAAAATAAATAAATCGTAAATAAAATCTCCCTAGTAATACCCCCTTCCATTATGCTTAATATTTGTCTAGTTTGTTGCTGTTGTTCCATGTTTGACAATCTGCCACCGAATTTTTTTAAAGGATATATTTATTTGAAAGTCAGAGAGAGAGAGAGAATCTTCTATCCTCTGGTTCACTCCCCAAATGACTACAACGACTGCAGCTGGGCCAGACAGAAGCCAGGAGTCTGGAACTCCATCTGGGTCTCCCACGTGGATGGCAGTGCTTGGGCCATCATCTGCTGCTTTCTCAGGTATAATGGCAGTGACCTGGATCAGAAGTGGAGCAGCTGGGACTTGAACTGGCTGGTGCTCATTTGGGATGCCAGAGTTGTAAGCAGTGGCTTAACCTGCTGCACCACAATGTCGGCCCAAGTGCAGTAGAATTAACACACACACGAAATATTGCAGCCAGAAAGGTTCACAAGCTAGGAAAATAATTTATTGTCTAGCTTAGTACTTGGGGAAATGAGAAGGCAGGGTACTTTAATGGTAGACCATTCTCAGATAAAGAAGTCATACAAGAAGTGAGACTTGCAAACTTGAGTTCAACGCATTGCTTCAATCAGATCTGGTCAGCTGTAAACATCATTAGCTTAAAATGTTTTCTCTTAGCCCTGTTTGCGATCAAGATGGGCCTCCTGAAAGGGAAAGTGCTGCTCTTTCACATTTGATCTCTTTCTGGGGGTGTTAAAGCTAGCTGGAGTCAGGCTTCCTGCAAGCTACATTAAACTTGTGTTTCTCCAGGCCAGAAGGGAAATTGCGATGTCTCCTCCATGTTGAGAGAGTCCAAAAGCAAGACAGCTTCATCCCTAAAACCAAAACCTAGATAATCAAAAATAAGGAGCTGTAGATCAGTCTATGTATATGCCAGTTTTATGGCATTTTTATGATATTCCTATGTGTCCCTCTTGCCTCCACATTATAGTCTTGATGATGTGGTCAAGATTTCTAAGATTTTGATATTAAAATATGGATGTGCTATTGTGTTTAGAGAGTGATGTGTTTTTGCTATGAGTTATTTGGTGGTGATCTCAAATCATTCTTTAAGTTGTCAGAAAATAATTCTAGGAAACAACTAAACTAAGTTTCTTTATGTGACTAACGTATTTTTAAAAAGAAGAAGGTGGTGTTCTAGATTTTAGAAATGAATTGGTTGTTTGGACCCCATGTGGTCTTAGTTTGAAGAAGTAACTATAAAAATACATTTTGGGGAGAAGTTCTTTTTCCCAGTGGTTAGGATAACAGTTGGGACACCAATGACTCATATCAGAGTGCCAAGCTCTTGCTCCTTTTTTTTTTTTTTTTAAATGAATTTATTTATTTGAAAGACAGAGGTAGGGGAGGAGAAAGAGAGAATATCTTCCACCTACTGGTTCATTCCCCAAATAGCCACAACAGCTGGGCCTGGGCCAGGCCAAAGCCAGAAGCTTGGAACTCCATCTGGGTCTCTCATGGAGGTACAGGGGCCTATGTACTTGGGCCATCTTCTTCTGTCCTCCCAGGCACATTAGCAGGGAGCTGGATCATAAGTGGAGCAGCCAGGACTTGAGCCAGTGCCCATATGCTTGATGCTGGCACTGCAAGTGGCATCTTAACCTTGTAAGCCACAGTGCCAGCCTCACCCTGGCTCCTGACTCCAGCTTCCTGCCAATGCATCAACCAGTGGTGATGACTCAAGTGACTGGGTTCCTGCCACCCACATGGGACACCTGGATTGAGGTTCAGGCATCCAGCTTATTGCAGGATTTGTGGAAAAAACTAGCAAATGGGAGATCTCTCTCTTGAATATGTAAATTAAAATGATAATTATATAAGTAATAAGTATGGGGATAAATATGGATATACTCTAAGTATTAGATAATATTAAGTAATTGTTGTTACTTTTGTCAGGTGTAAAGATGATTTTGTGGTTATGTAACAAGATGTCTTTATTTTTTAGAAATACATGCTGAAGTATTTAGTAATGAAATGTCATAATATCTAATTAATTTTCTTAAAATATGAAGAGAACAGTGCAAAGTATTTGTTAAGTCTAGGTGATGGCTATACAGAGTTATGTAAACACATGTCTATTCATTTTATAATACAAAGCCTTTTTTAAAAAGACAAATAAATCACTGGTGGATTCTTTTTCCATCTATTTTTTTTTTTTTTTTTTTTTTTGGGACAGGCAGAGTGGACAGTGAGAGAGAGAGAGACAGAGAGAAAGGTCTTCCTTTTGCTGTTGGTTCACCCTCCAATGGCCACTGCGGCCGGCGCACCGCGCTGATCCGATGGCAGGAGCAAGGTACTTCTCTTGGTCTCCCATGGGGTGCAGGGCCCAAGCACCTGGGCCATCCTCCACTGCACTCCCGGGCCACAGCAGAGAGCTGGCCTGGAAGAGGGGCAACCGGGACAGAATCTGGTGCCCCAAGCGGGACTAGAACCCGGGGTGCTGGCGCCGCAAGGCGGAGGATTAGCCTAGTGAGCCGCGGCGCCGGTCTTTTTTCCATCTATTTTAAGGAACCAATATGGGCACCATCTCTGATGGAAACTAGAAAAAAAAAAAAACCCTCAAAATATAAATTAGATAAATTTAAATGAGCTTTAAAAATATCCTGTGGTATTGAAATATAAAATTATGCAGCATTTTCAAGTAAAAAGTTCATGAAGCTCTCTTAATTCATCCATGTTCTGTGGGTGGGGATAAATGAATAATAAAAAGCATTGCCTGTTAAGGAATAAAATTTGACTCATAAATTGAACTCCATGAAAATTATTTAAAGTATTTGTAAGTATAATAGGTTCACCAGAAATAGTCCTAATTTGCATCATAGCATTTCCTATAAGTGAGCAGAAAGTAATGTATGTTCATACTAGAGAACAGAGATAATCCATCAGAAAAAAAGTCCCCTAATTTCCCCTCATGTTACTGCTATGTTGGCATGTTTCTGTACAGTGTTTTCTTTTAGCAGAGGTGTGGTTACACTTGTATTCCTCTTCCCTCCTTTGCTCCCTCTCTCCCCTTTCCCATTCTTTTGTAAGGCACAAACTTGAAAGCAGAAGCAGGAAAATTATCTACTCCCATTTGTGATGAAACCACTCCACTCCCAGAGCAAAGTTGTCTTTACTTTGGTAATTTATGAAGTTTTTAGAATGAGTTTTTAAGAAATCATCTGTGCAAAGGTGATTAGCCCTTTGTCTGAGAGATGAGTCGCAAATATTTTCCCCAGCCTGCCACTTGTCATTTGAAGTGTTTCACAACTTTATTATTGCAGTGAATCACATTCATGAAGACTTTATAAAGTTACAAACAGTTATAAAACAATAAGGCAATTATCACAAAGCAAGGTAGTCTGTCAGCATGTCTTGAAAACAACATTATTATTGCTGGCATAAATATTGTAAAGAGAATAATGATAATCATCATTTATTAAAAATGGAGACACAATCTACATGCAGTAAAATGCACAGATCTTACCATGTTCAAATTTTTGCGTCCTGGCGATATTGTTCATCTGGGCAAACTGCACCTGCAGCATCGTTTGGAGCATTTGTGTCACCCTAGAAAGTGTTCTTGTGCCCTTGTCATAACTTACCCAGTGTCTCCCACTTGGGCAGTTCCAGATTCTCCTCCATAGATTAGGTTTCCTAGTTTTTGGAGAATTTACTCCTTTAGAAATCATTCCAGTAGAAACTCTTCTGTGCCCAGCTTCTTTTGCTCAACGGTAATGCTTCTGAGACTCGTTCATGCTATTTCTTGCAGGTTGTCATGGTTCATTTTTAGTGCTGAATAGTATTTAATTACATGAATAAACCACTCTTTGTTTGTCCAAAGACTTCTGCCTTCTGTCCAGCATCCTCAATGCAGCTTCTTCTGTACCCTCTGCCCGCTGGGGCAGCCTTTACTTGTATTTTGCAGTCTGCAGAATGTATCTGCTGTTGAATTTGAGGAAAATGGAGACTGTAGATTCTTTCAACATCTTTGTTACTTTTTCACGATTGCTGTGAGAAAAGAAAAATGGCTGAGTTGGTAAAGCCATCCGTGTTCATGCCAGATGCCCTGTGTGTTGGTTGTGGGTCCAGTCACCCTTCATGGCTTCAGAGACTCATCATAATTACATAATTTCTATAAATGTGTCTTTCGGGCCTCAATTTTTATAATTAAATGTATGAAAGGTTGACTTATAAAATATAAGCCCTGTAAACTATGACAATGTAAAAACTATTATAGATTTGCTAAATATAAGATTCTTTCATAAAGTATTTAGAAAAACAGAATTAAAAGTTAAATTTATTTTGGTGCAAGATTTTTTTTGAAATGTGTGCCTAGTTTTGTCATAATATACATTTTTATGAACTTTTTGAAGACCCTTTGTATGGATGAATTTAACTTTTTTTCCCTACCAAAAAAAAAAAAAACACTTATCTTTCAATTCCATTTTCTAAGATTTTTTTTCTTTTCTTTTTTTTATTTATTTGACAGGTAGAGTTATAGATAGTGAGAGGTAGAGACAGAGAGAAAGGTCTTCCATCCACTGATTCACTCCCCAAATGGCCGCTACGGCCAGCGCTGTGCTGATCCGAAGCCAGGATCCAGGTGCTTCTTCCTGGTCTCCCACACGGATGCAGGGGCCCAAGCACTTGGGCCATCCTCCACTGCACTTCCGGGCCACAGCAGAGAGCTAGACCAGAAGAGGAGCAACCGGGACTAGAACCCGGCACCCATATGGGATGCTGGCACGGTAGGTGGAGGATTAACCAAGTGAGCCATGGCGCCGGCCCCAGGAATCTTTTTTTAAAGAGTTTATTCATTTATATGAAAGGCAGAATTAGAGAGAGAGAGACAGAGAAAGAGACAGAGAGAGAGACAGAGTGTGAGAGAGTTCTTCCATCCTCTGGTTCACTCCCCAAGTAGCCACAATGGCTGGGAATGGACTGGGCCAAAGCCAGGAGCCAAGAGCTTCACCCAGTTCTCTCATGTGGGTATAGGGGCCAAAGCACTTGGGGCATCTTCTGCTGCTTTCCTAGACACATTAGCAAGGAACTGGATTGGAAGTGGAGCAGCTAGGATTTGAACCATTGCCCATATGGGATGTTGGCATTGCAGGCAGTGGCTTAACCCACTAAACCACAGTGCCTGCCCCTCCTTGAGCTTTTATGCATATTTGAGATATAGTTAGTCTAAGGGGAGGATACATATAGGAATCTGTAAGTCCTCTTTTGCTGTGGTGTGTACAAGGATACTGCCTACCACAGCAAGGAAAAATGAAGTTTAAAAACCCACTGGACAGGGGCAGGTGTTGTGGGTTAAGCCACTACTTGGGATGCCCACATAAAAATCACAGTGCCTGGGATGGAGTCCTGCCTCCACTTCCAATCCAGCTTCCCATTAATACACCTAGGATGTACTGGCTCAAGTTCTTCACTTCCTGCCACCACCCAGATGGAGCTCCTGGATCCTGGCCTTGGCTTGGTCCAGTTTGGTTGTTGCAGGCATTTGGGGTGTGAACCAGAGGATGGATTCGATCTCTTTCTCTCTCTTTCTCTTTCTCTGTTGCTCTGCCTTCCAAATTCAAATAAATAAACTTTAAAAAACCCACCGGACAGTAAACTGTTTGAAATCATGTTGGTTTTCCCACAGACACTTGTATTTGTGAACAGATTTCCTTATGGACTTGTCAGCACAGGGAAGTTGCTTCATCCTCTTCCATAGCTATGAGAAATTCCATTATATGATCAGCTGTGATTGATTTAAGCAGTTCCCATTTGATGGGGAAGTTGGAAAGTTATAATGTTTTTTTAAAGATTTGTTTTATTTATTTGAAAGGCAGAGATACAGAGAGGCAGAGGCAGAGAGGGAGCAAGAGCAAGAGGTCTTCCATCCACTGGTTCACTCCCCAAATGGCCACAACAGCTGGAGCTGGGCTGATCTGAAGCCAGGAGCCAGGCGCTTCTTCCAGGTCTCCCACATGGGTGCAGGGACCCACGGACTTGGGACGTATTCTACTGCTTTCTCAGGCCATAGCAGAGAGCTGGATTGGAAGTGGGGAAGCCCGGACTTGAACTGGCGCCCATATGGGATGCCAGCACTGCAGGCATCAGCTTTACCCGCTATGCCTGAAAAGTTGTGATTTTGTAAGATATTCCCAAAGAAATGGATTTGATCCTGGAAAGACATTTTCTTATGACCTTCATCTTCAGAAGGCAATCTGCTGTCTATGAAAACAGGCAACTTTAGATTCAGATAATTAGAAGGTGTGTTATGCGTGAACATTTTCTTCTTTTTTTCCCCATTTGGCTTGATGCTTTAAATGTAGAACTACACCAGAATAGCAGCATCAGCATATGTCGTGACTGCTCATTTAAAAGCTCTTCATTTCACAGGAGCATTCTTCTCTGGTCCAGAAAGTACGGTACTTGAGAAGCTGTGCCACTGTGTGGATGAGTGTGGCTGTGCGAGTGTGTGGCCACTGCTCTCCGAGACAAAGGGGACCAGCAGAGGTTGCTTTAAAGGGATCCCTTCAATCGAATGCTAGGCCTACCATACCCTAGGAAAGATCGCTTTTTTATACAAGCAAACTGCAATGTTAGGGTTTCTCTCTCCCTCACACACTCACACACATGTGTAAAACAGTAATTTTTACACTCATATATACTCACATACAATCATAGATACATAAAGGCACTCACTTGGAGTCATGAACATAGACTCACACCCACACACGCTCAGACCCACACTCACACCCAGACATATTTGGCGAGTACATATACAGTCATCTCTCAATATTCACAGGGGCCTTGGTTCCAGGAACCTCTGCAAATATCAAAATACGCAGATGCACAAATCCCTTATATAAAATGGTGTTGTATTTGCATATTCCCTCTGTACATCCTCTCATATACATAGTTATAGATTATTTACAGTACTTAATACAATGTAAATGCTACGTAAATAGTTGTTATGTTTTTTAGGAAATAATGCCCAGGGCAAAGTGTGTACTTGGTGAATGTAGTTGCAACCACTGTAGACCTAACTTTATGGTATTCAAGCAAGATGCAAGGTAAACAGTAGAGATGTGGGGAGACAGCAGAGGCTACACAGGGTTCACTTACACATTGCTTCGTTCACATGGACTCAGTGTGGTGCTCTGTCACTGTGTGGCACATTTAAGTTCTGTAGTTTAGAACCTTCTGGAATTTGGGGGGGGCAGAGAATATTTTTAGTCAGCAGTTACTTGGATCTGTGGATGTGAAAGGCTGATGCCTATAGACTGTGTGTACACATGGTGTGCACACACACACACAGAATAGCTTCTTCAGTGAACATCAGAGGGCTGCCAGTGTGTAAGATCTTGTGCTCAGGCATGGGGGTGGGATGGGCAGGGGCACGCAGCCCCCTAAGCTTAGACCTGCTCTAGAGCAGGAGGAGTGGGCCGGCTGCTCTGACACCTGTGAGCATGTGATGGCTTGGCCTGCTCTATGGCCAGATGATCCTTCCAGGTCCTTTGTTGGGGTGGACCTGGGCACCTACCCAGGAGAGCTTTCCCAGGGTCTGATAGCTCTTAAAGAGAGAGGTCACATTTCGTACAAAGTTCCCCTGATGTCTCTCCCTTGCTTTTTCCTTTGTTGGAGCCTCGCGGGGCCTCTTTGAGTTCAGTGGAAGACTTAGAAATGTTGGAGAGGATCATTTCATTGGTTGGGTTCAGCTGAAGTGCCTTAATACCTACTCCCTGGGACCAGCGCTGTTGTTAAGTATCCACCTGTGGTAGCAGCATCCCATATGGGTGCTGGTTTGAGTTCCGGCTGTTCCACTTCTGTTCCAGCTCTCTGCTATGGCCTGGGAAAGCAGTAGAAGATGTTCCAAGTCCTTGGGCCTCTGCATCCATGTGGGAGACCTGGAAGAAGCTTCTGGCTTTGGAATGGCCCAGTTCTGGCCATTGTGGCCAATTGGGGGGTGAACCAGTGGATGGAAGACCTCTCTCTCTCTCTGTTTCTGTCTCTCTGCCTCTCCTTCTCTCTGTGTAACTCTTTCAAGTAAATAAAGAAATTTTTTTTTTAAAGACCCCTCTCTCTTGGTCTCTCCCTGTCTCTGTCTGTAACTCTGCCTCTCAAGTAAGTAAATACATACATACATACATATATACATACATACATACCTATTCCCTGCAAGCAGGTTTGGCTGACTTCAGGACTGCACTCAGCACGGGTTTCAAACAGTCAAATTGTTGCAGAGAGCAGAACACCTTTTTGCTGTCACAGTGGTCACCTTAGCGCGCATCCACCTGGCCATCACTGTGGGGCTAGAAATAATGTCATTGAATTTTGAAGGTGACAATAAACCTCCTTCCTCTGTAGCCTAGAAACTTCCTTCAATGTGACATTTTTAAAGGGTTTTAAAATTTTCAGGAAGTCATCCTCGTCTCTCCCCTTGTTCCTTCAGCCAGCATCCTGCCTCCCAGGGTTAAGTGAGGAATCTCTTCTGAGCAGTGCTTTCTCTGGTTCCTCCCTTCTTGGCAAACGTGGTGCCAGAACCTGAACCAGCGCTCACAGGGGATGCCTGCAGTGCAGGTCACAGCTTAACCCTCTGTGCCACCACAATGGTCCCCTAGATTTTTTTTATGTGTATATTCTGCTATTTCCTTTTTAAAAAAAGATTTATTTATATTTGAAAGGCGCAGCTATAGGGAGGCAGAGGGAAAGAGAGAGAGAGAGGGAAAGGTATTCCATCTGCTGGTTCACTCCCCAAATGGGCACAATGGCTGGCTGCAGCTGGGCCAATCTGAAGCCAGGAGCTTTTTCTGGGTCTCCCACATGGATTCCAGGGCCCAAGTGCTTGGGCCATCTTTTACTGCTTTCCCAGGCCATAGCATAGAGCTGGAGCGGAAGAGGAGCAGCCTGGACTAGAACCAGTGACCAAACGGGATGCTTGCACTGTAGGCTGGGGCTTTAGCCGATAAGCCACAGTGGCAGCCCCAACTGCAAAGTTTTATGAAGTTGTTTGATGCTTGTCCCTGTGTGCAGACTGTGACTAGCACACCACACACACAGACAGGTGTGTTGTGTTGTTGACTCAGGACCCATGAGCATGACTACCACTGGAGAAGTAATTGTCCAGAATGGAAAAACAAACTGAAAACAAAAAGCCCACATACCCAACCAAACAAAAACCTCTTGGTAAGGTTCTGAACAAAACAGAAAACAGCCTTCTCTTTATTTTCACAGTAGTTTCATTCCTGGAAAATTCAGCGCTTATTAAAAGCTAGCAAAAACTCCTTTGTGTTGATAATTTAGAGGTGCACTTACATTTTAGATGTAGGCAGTTAATGGATTTTTTTTTTTTTTGCCCCCCTTCTACCTGAATGACCAGTGAGACATTTGAAAGTCCTGTGGGATGCAGGACAATTCTTCCTTGTGTGGGCCTCTCCCGCCTTCATCCAGTGACTGCCCGTAGGGCCCTGAGTCATTATGAAAAAACATAGTCGCAGCTGTTCAGAGTGCCCCAGGGGCTCTGCCCTCACCACCTCTGACAGCCACTGCTCTGGGTGTCCTCGGGATCTGGGTCTCCTCTGGAATCCGTTCCATACACCAGGAGTAGGTGAACATTATTCTAAAACATTCACCTGTCTTTCACTCTTGTTCAAACGCCACTAGCACCTCCCCACTGCGGCAGGACAAAGTGCAGCATCCCTAGCCAGAAAAACAGTGGGCAGCTCTGCGCATGACAGGTGCATCTGGCTGAATTCAGTGTTTCAGCTCAGAGTTGGGTGTTGAGGTGCCTGCAGGAACCCGCTGGCTCAAAGTAAGGATACCCTCCTTCAGAGGCTGTGTGTCTTTGGAGAAGTGGTTGAACCCTTCTGGGCCTCCTTGTCCTCTGTTACATAAGACTATGCAGTGGCATAGCTTAGAGATCCCTTTCTGCACTTATTTCTGTGAATTTGAGAAGAGTGATAGAGTCTGTAAGTGGTAGCACCTCACATTTTGCTAGAACTTTGAGTTCTGAATTTATTGGTGTCAGTTTAAGTCTTTTTGTCTTTTGAGGTAGTGGGAACGCTTAGTGGGACCCATTTCAAACCTATAGCGTTCTGCTTTGGACGGAAACCCATTCCGCACACCCCTCCCAGCTGTGCCTCCCTGTGGTGGGCTCTTCCCTCTGCTACTCTCTAGGTGCCCAGAGTTCACCTGTGTCAGAGGAGCACAGCGCCACAACTTCAGTACAGAGTGTCTCCCGGCCTTTGTGTCCAAGTGGCCCTCAAGACAGCCCGTGCTCCAGCAGCTTGCTCAGATGTGTCCGAGCTGTGCTCGTATTATTTTGCCATCCACGTTTTCCCCTTGGTTACTAGGCCTAACAATAGTATGGATGTCATGGGTACTTGCTCATCACACACACTATTGTTGATCCCTTGTCAAAGTGTATAATTACGCATTTACGGTGGTTTTCTTTCGCAGTCCGGCCTGTCTCCCTCCTAGGGTATAAACTCTGTGAGGGCAGCGGGCCTGATTTGTCCTCTCCTCCATTCCCAGCACATCCTTCTGCGCCCACCACCCAGGAGTCACAGCGATGGACCTGGATCTGGGGAATGAGCGAGGGGCTGTCACCACATACTGGCAACGAGGGAAGCCTCACTAATAAGGACCGGTGGGCTCCTATTCGCTCATGCATGCATTTGGAAAGAAAGCTCTTGTGCTCTAGCAGGAAAATTAATTTTCTTCCAGCCCCTCCCCCTCCACCCCCGTTTGAGCGTCAAAGCCATCCGGACCACTTGCCCCGGGGTCAGGCCAAGCCTGGCTCGGCTTGGGAAGGACTGGCACGCGTCTCTAGGCGGGAGGTGTGCACAGAAGCGGAGAATTCATTATAACCGGTTAGTCATCCGTGGAGATGTAGACACTGCCCGTGGGCGGGGCGCACCTGGCACCCCACCCCGGGGCAGGGGGGCTGTTCCCGGCGCTGCTCCCCTAAGTGGGAGCGCGAGCGTCCAGAGCCTATGGCAGCCCCGGCCCGGGGTCTGCAGGTACTCCGAAAAAAAGCACCTAGGGTCCCTGGGCGCCCCAATCCCCTGCAGCCAATTCTGAGATCGAATCCAGCATCTGCGGGGGAAACTTTTCCACGGACTGCAGGGCCCACCTGGCTCCTAGCCCGACACCCGCCTGGAGAAGGCTGCAGCCAGGGCGCTGGGGCTCAGGGTAGTGACCCCGGCTGCGCGCAGACCTGGAGAACTCCGGCGGCAGCGTCAGGAGCGCGCGGTTCGCTCGCGCAACGATGACTCAGCCTCGCTTGGGTCGGTCTCCACCGCCAGCCGGCGCGAGGGCTCCACAAAGTTCCCAGTCCCACCCCAGACCTCGCGCGGGGGCGAGGGGCTCCGTGCAAGCTGGGTGCCGGTATGGGGGCGGCGGCGGCGGCAGGGAGGCCGTGGGGAAGCCTGGTTTTCCCAGCGCCTAAGGGTTCCCCCGACTTCCCTTCCCCTCTCCGCGTCCTCTGCAGGCAGCCGGGATGCGCCTCAGTCGGCGCTGAGCTGGTGGCCCAGGAGGCGAGGTGATGCGGGGGCTCGGAGGAATCTCGAAATCAGGGGGTGTCCGCCGGGTCGGGGGGACTCGGCGCCACATTCGCTCCCTCGCCCAGCCCTGATGCTGGCCGCAGCCGTGAGGCGCGGGAGCCGAAGTCGGCCCGGGCAAGCGCTGCTCCGCAGCCCCCGACCCGGGGTCCAGTGTACCGGGGGCGGCTGCGCTGTGGGCCGACGCCAGGGCCCCCGCGCTTCAGCGCTCGCGCGGCGGCGGCTGTGCAGCCCTCCCCGCCTTCCCCCGTCGGGCGCCGTGGGCCCTGGAGCCGCTGTGGGCGGCTTGGTAGCGGTGCCTTCGCCAGAGCCCCGCGCCCCCGCCCCTTCCCCACCCCGCTCCACCGCCCTCCTCAGCTCCTTCCTCACACTTGTGCCTCTTCCCCGCTTCCCTTCCCACGAGAAAACTGCGGCGGGGGTGGGGGTCGCGCCACCCCGGGGGCTCCGCAGCCCGCAACCCCGCCGCCGCCCTGGTCCCTGCATGGCCCCCGGCGCGCACGCCGGGCCCTCGGCCCCCTCCCTCCGACCCCGGTTTGGGGGTCGCCAGCGCTCGGGGCTCCAGGGGCCCGGCCGGAGAGTCGCGCCCGCGGCGGCGGACTGCGGAGTTGTCGAGAACTCACGGCCGCAGTGGGCCGGGCGGGGCCGGACGCGCTCCGCCGCGGCCAAGGACACTGGAGTTTTCGAGTCCCCGCCCGCACGGCGCCTCCCGCCTCGCCGCCGCGGCCCGCCGGACTCCCCGGGGCCGCCGAGGCGGGGCCGGCGGCCGCGGCAGCAAGAGGCGCGTCCTCCGCCCTCCTCCCGCGCCCGCCTCCTCCCCCCCCTCCCCGCGCTCCTCCGCCCGCCTCCTCCCCCCGCCCCGCTCCTTTTTTTTTTTTTTTTTTTTTTGCTCCCCAAGTGAGCCCGGCGCGCGAGAGGCAGGCGGGGCGGCGCGGCGCGGAGCCGGCAGCCCGGCGCGCTCGCCCACCGCCCGCTCCGCGCAGCTCCCGGCCGCCGCTCTGGTCGCCGCCGCCAGGCGCGTCGGAGGGAGCCCAGCATGGCCGGGCCGGGCTCGGCGCGCCGCACGTCCCGGGGGGCCTCGGCGCTCCTCACCGCTGCGCTCCTCTATGCCGCGCTGGGGGATACGGTGCGCTCGGAGCAGCAGATTCCGCTCTCCGTGTAAGTGCGGGGTCCCGTGCCGCCCGGGGAGGGGACCTGGCCGCCCGTGACCCGCTGTGCCCAACTTTGGGCGCCTGGGCAGGACCTGCGGCGGACGCTGGCCTCGCCCCGCGCACCTGCCTGCCGGGTCCCGCACCCTCTCGCCCCTGGCCTCGGGTTGGCGAGAGCGCCCTGCAGAGGCTCACCTCAAGTGACAGCTCCAACTTCGGAGCCAGTGTACCGGATCCAACTTGCACGGGCCGTTCCTGTCCCCCTGCCTTCGCTCTCTCGCCATCTCTTTTCTTTTTTGAGGGGACTGGGGGGTGGGTGGGAGTGGATGGGTGGATTTCTTACCTCCAGGATTCGCCGGGTGCTGCCGAATCCGCCGGCGATTGTAGAAACGCACCTAGGCGGTCCTGGAGAGCGCCGGGGGCACTTCGCGTGGGAACTCTGAGACCCCACACGGGCCCCCTCCTGCGCCGCACTGTGCGGTTTGGATCTGGCAGTTTGCACCGAGGCGCTTGTTTTTTTTTTTTTTTTTCTTTTTTCTTTTGCTTTTCTTTCGTGTTATCTCGCCCTGCCCCTGCAGCCACAGCCCCGAGTGTGCGAGTGCGTGCGCGCGGGCTGTGACACGGCGGTGACATTTCTCCCTGTGGCCTTTCTCTCCTGTAGGGTGAAGCTCTGGGCCTCCGCTTTCGGTGGGGAGATAAAATCCATTGCCGCCAAGTACTCCGGCTCCCAGCTCCTGCAAAAGGTAAGGTTTCCGCGGCGGCGGCGGAGGCAGCCCTGATTTTTCCCCAGCTCAGAAAATGGAGGAGGCAGATTGAGTTTTGCAAACAAACGTGAGCCGGGAGCAGCATCAGTTATCAGACGAGTCTCAGATCCCCTGGTTTCTTGGCATTGTACTGGGCAGTGACTGCTCCCTACCAATGGGTTATTTTTAGATGACACTTGATTCTAAACACAAAGAAGAGCAAGCTACTCACTCGCACCGTCCTGGCTGGGGCTTGGGAACTGAGCGCCTGGCTCGGCTCTCCTCTCACTGTCGGTATTGCTGTTGCAGTGAGAGGGCGGATGCTCCCCGGGCCAGAAAATGCGAACTTCGTCCTAGGCGGCAGAATGAGAGCCTGCTTCCTGGTGGCTTTCACCTTGCATCGGGGGCGTGGGGCTTGGTGTATGGGAGAGAGATGCTGCACTATTGTTTGTCATCCCTGCAGTTGTACAATCCCATTATTCCCCAATCATCTAGACCCGGGGCTGGGATGCATTACATCATTACAGATAAGGAGAATGAATGTGGTTATCTTTCCACTCAGCTGCACTGCCGGGTAATAACCTAGGAGTAGTCCACAAACTTAAGAAATTGGTCTCCGTCTATATAATTCTGGAGAGTAATGAGAATGGAGAATTGATTATTAGGCTTTTATCAGAAGCTGCATCAATTTTAATTCAAACAGGCAGCATTATGCTTAAAAATTACATTGTGAAATATACGGTCCCCGTTCTTCCCTCCAAGAAATAAAGCAAGGAAATGGGCTGGGGAGGAGGGCTGAGAGGGGCTGGGGAGGATTTCCAGTCAGCACATCGTGGGATTCCTCCAGATACTCTCTTGATGATAGCAAGTAGAACTGGTCTTTAGGGGCTTATTCTCTGAAAATGAGTACAAACGGCTTAAATTGCAAAGTTAACTTTTCAGCATTTTTAAATGTGCTTTTTGGGCCAATGTACCATATGTGTTATGCATGCTGCCTGGTAACCAAGTCCGTATTTTATTTATGGCATTCCATTTCAGAGAGTAGCATTTTGGGGGACATTATAGGAAACAGTTTGTCGCATGAAATCTAAGCATCATGATAGAGCATCAGCCCACCGTGGAATGGCAAAGTTATCCTGGCTTAAAAATCATCAGCAGCCACGTTTCAGGAAGCCAGCTGAAAGACGGGTTGCTCGGCCCCATTATTTGAGAAGGAGTTCGTTGAGTTTATGGGCAGTTCGTAAAAACTAGATGCCTCCATGGAAGACCCATCTCTAGGTTCTAGAAATTACCCTTTTCCCCCACCGTGCTCCTCTGCCCTGGACCAGTCTGTACTCTGCTTTGGCATTGTGCCTGCTTGTCAGATGTTTTATATGTACAGTTCTGGACTGTGCAATTGCCTGTGGATTTCCCTTATGCTTTTAAAGAAGAGATCATTTTGTATAACTTTAAGGAACTGTTTCTCATCTGCATGTTGTGGTTGTAGCAACTCTGCAAGGATCCATTCAGAGCCTGTGAATGCTCTTTGGGTTGTGCTTGCGTATCTTGTATCTCACATTTGGTAGGATCCCACAAAATAGGTTCTTTTCTTCTCTTGGAAGTTAACATACACACACACACAAACACACACGACACATGCTGCATAAAACCTCATCAACCTTATTATTGGCTACTCTATAAGAGCAAATTGGAAAGAGCTAAAATGCCTCTCTTACCTTCTCGTTAGCATCCTTTCTGATAGCAGATTCACGAGGCTTGCTTTGCTTTTGTCATGTTTGCAGCTTGACAATTGTGTAATTATTTCCAGCTGTTTATGGCTTTGCTGTCATTTCTTGCTGCAGCCTGGCATTTTGTAATCTGATGCAAGGACAAGGTGAGCTGTTGCTTGGCATTAGGCTCCTGAATGGGTATCTGCTTTGGCCCTTGTGTGGCAGCTGTCTGCCCTGGGGGTGCTGGAATACCCATGGTTTTGGGTTGCTTGGCCAGGGACTTTTCATGAGTGATAGGAAGGGGCATCAGGCCACTCGGGTAGCATTATTGCAGGAATCTTCTGGTTGTCTTGGTCCGTTGCCTCCCAAATGTGACTGCATTTTTAAAATTAGCAAAGAACATTGGTTTAGAGAGTTCAGCGTATGAATGGGAGAAGATCTGAGGTGCTTAGAGTGTGGGAGGCATAATCTCATTTGGACAAGCAAGGAGCCGTGTTGCCTCTCTCTTGCTTATTTTCAAGTTTCTGGCTATTTGCATGAGGAACTACTTCTGGAAGCCAAGACTCTATGCACTTGTCCATCGCTTTGCTATATCCTTAACAATGAAGAAGCTTAAAAACGAGTTAGAACACTTGACTGGAAAACATGTTAACTCCATATTAAAGGAACTCAAAGGGTACGATGTTGTATAATGGACTGCAATTGCACTTTTAAGACACAGGCATTTAAACTTGATTTTCAGTTAACCATATTGTATACCACCTTATAATTTCATGTAGTTTCTATGGTTGACAGCTTCATATTGTGAATCAGTGTAGCATGTTCATTTTTGGAGTGGGAGGTTAGTAATTTTTTGCACTAAGGCATAAACTTTACAAAGTGATTATTGTGAAAATAAGTTAAATTATAACTGTCCATCTATTTTAAGGTGTTTGGAGACCGAGCAAACTGCTGTTTGTGGAGCATCCTTTTACTGGGTGATAGAATTGGAGATAGCCCCATTGTTGCTGTTCATACATCAGTATGAACACAGCCATTTAATAGTGTGTCCCATTGCCACCTTGGAGTGGAACACATTTCTGTGGTTTCTACCGTTGCTGGTAGGTAACCCGCTTTAGCTCATGGTAATAGGTAATATATTTAGGTATTTGATACCAGACTTTCCCTATTTCTTCTGTTTTTCTTTGCTGAGGACAGGAATAACAAACTATTAGTTCCTTATCAACAGTATCTTTTTGATTTTCTGAAAACACAGGAAGGCATGCTTTTGCAAACTTGAGTGTTTTTGGTGTAAATGAAGAGCAGGGACTTGTGCATCCTTGTTGGAGTGAATCTGGGGGAGGGTTTGCCCTTGTTAGAGAGCTGCAGCCTGGAAGGAAGGGGCTTCCCATGCTGCTGTGTGCCTGTCTGCTGCCTTCCTTAGCTGGCAGATTCTGCAGGGTTTCCATTCTCTTTGACTTTTAATTAACTTTCCTGTTTGACAGTTGCTTGCTAGCTGTCCCCATGTTCCTTCATTTTCCCTAAGGAATGTGCTTTGGTTGAGTTCTTTTTGGGGGAAGCATAGTTTGAGTTAGTGAGAAGCATTCTGGTAGGTCTGGGAAGATGGGCTGCTAAACTCCCGGCTCCACACCTCTGACACTCACAATAAAAGGCATTGACCTGGCGTGATGGTCTCTTCATCCTCCTTGGGGAGGAGTTGATAGGCACTGAGTTTTTCGTTCCGTTTAGACTTGCATTCAGGGAATGAAGGGTTCCAATTATATTTTCCTGAATTGTGACAGTAAACACACAGCAGCAACACAGGTAATGTGTGTCTCTGCCGATAATGGCACAGAAGACTCGTCACTGACCTCGGACGGCTTTGTAGCACTTAGGGAGCACACGCTTCTTGGAATGCACAGCCAGGTTTTTGTGATATCACCTCTTTATTGAGAGGGCAGCTTTCATGCAGACACTTGATGTCTCTTTCCGTAGGACAGAGTCAGCAAAGTAAAAGGTTGGTTCCTTAAGCCATTTTTATAATTATGACTTTTCATCAATGTGGAAATCAATGGACTTCTAAATAATTGAAAAGGAGTGTTCACCTATTAGAAGTGGGTAGCAGTGCTGTGTTGCCTGTAGGAAGCCTGACACTACAGATAGTGTGTGGGGAGGCCTCTATCTTGCTGCACATTTTTGTTGAATAAACTTGGTCACTCGCCATCCCAAAAGATAGATGCCACCACACCATGCTTTAATTTACAGCATTGTTTCAAATGACTGGACATCTTCCTGGAAGATTCTTTATAAAAGTCTGGAATTTTCTGAAATGACAGTTGTCAACCTCAAAGTGTAGTTTATTGGCCTCATTAGCTCAATCATGGGGAGGCGAGCAGAGCAGAGCAAACCAGCACGCGTTAGGTCCATGCATTTGGCACACAAACCTGGTCACACGTATAAATCCACACACTGTCATTCCCTACATTTTTGTCTGGACCTTCCACCTTTTTTCCATTTGTTTCTTTTTTTTTTTTTTTCTTAAGGTCTTTCTTAAAATTTCTTCCTGCTGTATTCTACTTTGCTTTCTCTCTCACCTGTCACTGCGGCAGCCTGTGTTGCGCATGAGATGTCCGGGTGCCAGTCACAATGAAGGGAAATGGAAATGTTGGCACGATTTTCTTGTTGGGGGGGGGGGGAAGCGTTAGCTTTTTTATTCCACTATGACTTTTTAATTTATTTTTAGTTGACAGGTAAAAATCATGCATTTCTGTGGGGTACCAGGCAATGTTTCTGTATGCCTCTTTGCTGTGTAATGTCTAATCTGGATAAATGTACTGACCTCCTAATCATTTAACACTTCTTTAGGGTCAAAGTTATTCAAACTCCTTTCTTCTAGTTTTTTTTTTAAGGTGAGAAATATGCAGTACATTATTGTTATTTAAAATCTTCGTACTGTGCAATAGAAGACCAGACTGTCTTACCCCCATCTGACTATAACTTAGTGCCTGTTAATCAACCTTCTCCCTTGTGGTTATTATTTTTGATCCATTAGTAAGGGTATTTCATTCTGGTTTTAACTGATTAATTCTAATAGCAGTTGGATTTTAGGCACACACCCGAATACCAAGGCACCTAATAATGAATTATGAGGTCTGTCAGGCACGGGCGAGCACAGTTAGGGTTTCCGGTTTTGGATGAATATTTCGCCGTGTATTAGGAAGAACAAAAGTGGAAGCA